TGTTTCATAAATATTTTTGTTTCGAAAACGTGATTTAAAATTGAAAAGTTTTTTATTGACACTTTACTCGACTCCGTCTGACATTTCTGAAATTCCTTGCGAGCCTCCTCTCAATAAAACGAAGCATCGGCTATCAATGTGAATACATGATTCTAATGTTGAATGATAAAAACTATAAATATTATGTTTGTTAAAATTATGTTTTAGGTCTGTGAATCTGTCAATATGAACATCCATGTCTTCGCATTGGTTCTACTGCCAATTACAGCTGTGTTCGGTGCACCCACTGACTCCGATGGATCCAATTCACAGGACACCAAGAGTCCACCCAACGAATGGGGTCCCTATTACGATCTCCCTGCCGGTAGAGCCGACATGAAAATTCTGTTTACAAACGTGTTATCTGATTACGTTAGAGCCCATCATATGGCAGATTATATGTGTGAAACACAAGATGCCCTGTTTGAGCGATGGTTTAGAAGCTCGATCAATACAGATCATTACATTCTGTCTTTCTACTGCAGAACTCGTGGATTTAGGGGTTATTCTCACTTTAAGGTCGAAGCAACAAGCAAGCACGAGGGACGTGTACTCGAATATCAGTCTTCGTTAAAAAGTTTCGGCATCATGGACGCACGTGGTTACGATGAGGAGCAAACAAAGGACGGAATTAATGGTACGAGGAAGCAAAATGAGTTGCTTAAGAAAGTCAGAGATCAAATCAAGATGCAACCAGGCGAAGATCCCACCAAAGAGCTGTCCTGACGTTGGAAACAAGACAGTCAAGACGCTTGTCTGGACCAAGTTCGAGAACGGTCTCTACTACTACAAGTTCCCTGTAAGCTGTAACATCAGCTACTCTGACTTGAGCACCGGAGGAGACTACGTTACTAGAATCGAGGTTGTCGAGGACACAGACTTCAAAATACTGAATGGCGGAAAAGCAACACTGGTTGTCATGGAAAAACCTGAGCCCAATACTAATTATATCAAGATGATGGAGAAGGAACTGGCAGCAAAGCAGGCTGCAGTAACTACCAATGAACCCAACTCTGATATCAATTTAATGAGTTAAAGGTTGTATCAAAACTATTTAAACAGAACTTTACCGACTACTGTTAACCTTCCGACTACTGTTATTCTTCCGACTACTGTTAACCTTGTCAATATATTTTTTGAGCTCTCTTCTTCAAAGTGAAGCAAGAATACCGAAGACACTCATTTCTTGTTCCGACCAATGAAAATGAGAAGGAACTTTGTATTCGGGTCCTGTTTTCATGCTTACTTTTTTCAAAGCAAAATCAGGTACCAAAGATAATCACCAAAATGAGTCGAGTAATATCTCAATTTTCCCAGAGTCGAGAAAAACCAGTTAAAAATTTTGATTTTGTCTTTTTTCTGAAATTTTTTTCATTCTCTGTTGCTAATTCATTTATGATGACAAGTATAGTCGATTACGCATAATTCATTGGCTTTCTACGCATTCTTATAGTTTTCTCATTCCAGCACGCACCAAAAACGACGCTAAATTGAAAAAAAACTAATATTTGTAGTTTTTTCATCATGAATAATGTTTTTGAGCTGTTTTTATATAAATTTATCAGAATCCCAAAAATTTGTCCAATAAAACTGTGAAAATTTTCTTCCACAGTTAGCTCTTTTTAATTCTTTCAACGCACTTGCCGGCACCATTCGAGATGTATCCAAAAAAAACCCTTATTGTAACATACAAGGCAATTGGGTGAAGTTTTTTTTATATAATGCACCTCCCCTTTCAGCACCACACAACTATTCCAATTGGCAATATAAACAACTGGTAAATAGAAAAACCCGTTAAGAACAAGTACAGGGTGCAAAACACGAGTGACATCACATATATACACGACATAACAAATACCTTTCTGGTAGAAAAAAATTTAAAGATTGCACTATAAGCGGTTTATTATCGACTTCTATCGAGATCAGCGAGCCGGCCATCATTCTTTTAACCACAAAGGAACTAACCGATGGTCGGCTCTTTGCACCCTGTACTTGTTCAAAATCACCATCGAACATAGATTCAAGCCTGTCATTGATTCCTTATTTATCGAAAAACCATGAGAGTATCTCTAAACATGACCAAGTTAGCGGAAAAAAAAACACCTTCACACCTCAAAAGTGCAGAAACTGCCTGGCAAAAAACTACCAAAAATATCAGCAAAGGAAAGTAAACTTCACCGGCAGACTAGATGTACCCTGACGACTTTGAGGCCCTACCGTTTAGTTACGGTAAGTGCACAAGCAGGATAGGGCCATACCAGCGTTATAAAAATGCATATATATCAGCAAGCTGTATCAATTTATCAATTAAGTCATAAATCAGCATTAAATGCATCGTCGTAATGTTAATTTATCTTAGCCGTCCTTCCTCTACAATAGCGCTAATGGAGTTGTCGATAAATTGAACTTCACGCAGCGATCTGCACCCCCTTATACATAGTATAGAGCTCCTCAGGAGCGCAAAGCTTATTTTAGTTCTTACGTAATTTATCGATTCTGGATAGCTTTCTTGTCTTTTTTCACTTAGTTTTTCGGCTAATCGTTGCAACGTCCGCGTGGCTGTTGGATCAACGCCACCGGTGCATCCGAAAATTAACCGGCAGGAGCTACTCTGCTCTACGTTTAAAATTCTTTGGTGATACTTGGAGTTCTTCAGCGTTTCGTGATATTTATATGCGTCTTTATGCAGTTTTCGCGATGTTTTGGCATGGGGGTTGAAAATTTAGTTTAGTTACAGTAAATGCATAAGCTGGATAGGGCCAAACCAGCGTTATAAAAATGCATATATATCAGCAAGCTGTATCAATTTATCAATGAAGTCATAAATCAGCATTAAATGCATGATTTGGAGTTCTTCAGAGTTTCGTGATACTTATATGCGTCTTTATGCAGTTTTCGCAATGTTTTGGCATGGAGGTTGAAAATTTTCACATCAAAGAAAAATCGGCTAAATTGTGAACCCCAGAGTCCGTTTGCCTTAATGTCAAGTCGTGCCTCATCTTCAGTTGTAGTTGAATTAATGACAAAGCTTTCGCCTTGCAACGGCTGAAGTTTCGGCTCAATCTCGACGTCATGGCAAACCTCGTTCATGAGGTTGGCGGATGTGTCTCTGATTTCATTGTGTTTTATGTGTGTGTAACCGCCCTTTGCACAGTGTAGCGCATGTCTCAAGTTAAAATTAGCAATGCACATGTGAGTGGGATTTTGGTCGGTTCCCATCCGTATCTTAAGTAAATACCATCTCTGAAGTCTGATTTATTCAAGTTGAAGTTATATCTGTTCAATGGTAAAGCGTTGAGCCAGTTAGAGGATCCCTTTTCAGAGGCTAGGTCGATTGCGTATTTATCTGTTTCATCTAAGGAGTTCATGAGGTTTGTTTTCTTTCGGTTTGTTCTGTCAGTTTTCAATTTTTTGATTTTCGTACATATTTTTTCTTGCTGTGTTATTGCTGTAACAGGATCTTTAGATTCCAGTACTAAGGATGTTTCCTCAGACCATTCTAGATAGCTTTCATGATCAGATGGCAGCTTGATGTTAAGGCCGCCCATTTTAAGGGGTAAGGAAGATTTCTCACGGAACTGGGGGTTCAATGTGTCTTTACCGATTAGGTTAGGTATTAATTGTTCTTTGATAAACTTTTCGCATATTTCTAAGTTTTCCATAGTGTTAGGCGTTGTCCTGGTAAGAAATGAAAGTTTTTCTTGAACTCCTTTAGTATAGCAGGCATAAACGTTTTGGGGGGAGGTTTTAGCGATTTTCGTTAATTTTTTCAAAATTTTGATTTGCTCATTCTGTTGAAATTCGAGCAACTTTTTACATTCAAATTCTGTTCCTATAACTGAACCAAGCACTCGGGCGCCTGCCTTTATAGTGATTCCTGTATTTTCGAAGATTTTCTCAGCTTCATCGAGTTTTCCATCTTTGACAATGAAAGAGCTACCATTATATGTAGAACATTAATTTAACTGAAGTCTGCCTGAAGAGAGCCTAAGGGAAAACCCCAAAAAAGCTGCCAAACATCTGCAGATTATCACTTGAACATCACAGAATTGGCAATTTCCTCGGTTTTTCCCAATAACTACAAACTGCAGCTTAAACCAGGCATTGCACTTCATTCATTATCCGCAAGCTGAAAAATTTAGCCCCCTGGAACACATTACAACACATTCAAAACTCTCTCCAAGCACGAAAATGCTATCATCGTTGCTTTCCACGTCGGATTTTCCCAATTTTTCTTTGAGAATAATCAGAATGAAGGGTCACTTTACGTTATTTTACCTAAACCAAGAAAATTTTCTTCCACAATTAGCTCTTTTTAGTCATTCTTTCACCATAATAGCTAGATTTAACGCCCTATCCTCTTTCTAAAAAAGTAGAAGTGAAAATTTTGGAAAAGGCTATGATCAAAGCAATCTATGCTAACTCATTCTCGCTGCTCCAATCACTTCATGAAGTTTGTAAGAAGAAGCTATGCTCTAGAGTTGTTTTCCTTGCAAAATGATTTATCGCGGATAAACGTTAGGTGTCGAGTAATCAAATCAAAAAAAATTATTCTTAAAATTTTTCTGCGTCGGAGAAAAAGTGGTCTGATCGCTTCCCTTTTAATTTTTAGGTTTCAGAATAATTTGCAGCAGGGGGAGAGCATGAGAAATCTGATAAACCACCATATTTTAGCTACGGCTGCCGTACTTTTTAAAGCGTATAACCCTTTTCAATCCTCCACTTTACCCAGTAAAAGGACAGAATCTAAGTTTTTTTTAAATACAGTCTAGAAATTAGTCTGGAAAACGGATACATTCAGACCCGTTTTTCTCGACATTTAAATTTCATTTGGAATCCAAGCAAAATAAATTAGGTATTCACATATTAACTCGCTCTACACTCGGCAATCTACGAAGGCACCTCAATTTCTAATATAAAACCTACCTGATTGATTTTGAATTTCAAAACCATCACAATAAATTAAATTCTATTTGCTCAAGAACGAAAGTTTACAAATTTTCTTGAAATAATTCTTATAAAAATATTTATAAATTTAAAAAACTGCCTATGTTTTCCTTCGAGAAATGAGAAGCCGATGTGTATAGTTGATAGAAGAGTGCATTCATGTAGAAACAGAAGGCAGCAGTTGCAGAGATAAAAATCAAACTTGGTCAGATTTGAATAAAGCCGCATTATGATTAAATTATGTTTAAATACAGTTTTTGTTGTAGATGTTATTTATTGGCCGTCAACTGTGCTGATCGTAGGTAGACACCAATTCTCCTATACAAATCGATTGTGCTTCCTGATTTTTGCAGTTGGTATGTTGGCAAGCCAACAAACCTAAGGGCCAATAAGTCTAAAACAAGATAGCCACTCCAACAAGCCGAAGTTGTTATGCAATATAACAGATTGTCACTGTTGTTATGCAATTTATATGTAACTCTGATGTAAATTCTACTTCAAGGTAATATGGCGGTTTGTTGAACATCAGCCAGTCATTGTAGTTACATTGGAATAACCCAATCACCTTAAATTAAATTGAAGGGATCGAGGAGATTAAAAGATGAAGAAAAATATAATAGAGGGACAGATTCGTCCTTGTTAATCGCGTCACACTAGATGCTGCCTCTTCTTGATATATCACTGCAACCCCTCCATTGTCCCTGGCGGCAGCAAGGAGACGAAAGGAATTACCAGTCGACTAAAGGATTCTACACTTCCATGGCCTCGGTGGTCTCGACCGTTCCCTTTCAATTGGAAACTTAGTTGGGAAATAGAACAACTTCGTTAGTTGACTGCATTGAGAGGGAACCATTTTGAAGTTGCCACTCGAACTGGAGAACTTTTCTTGTACCAGTCTATTCACTTCTGTCATCATGGACACCAGGTCATACTTGAAAGCCCACTCACGAAACACCTGCACTATGGCCTGTATGAACCAGGATCCTTTTTCACTATTTCTCCAGCTGACGTATCCCGGCACAGTGGAATAGGCTATAAAGATGTCACTGTGACTGGCAATCAAGTCACCCTTGGCGATAGCGTCGGTTTCATCGTAGTTCTGCGATAGGAGATCCTTGTACATACGCTCTTCCTTCTCGGGGCTTAATGTATCAGGCACTTTTGAGTCGTCAGCTGGTACATCTCCCGAAGAGTCCATGGCATCTCGACCATATAAATCAGCCCCCTTGTCACAACTCCCTCCCCTGCAAGCCTGCAAGAAAAACAATTTAGGTTTCCCGTTCAGATTCGGGGACTTATCTCCGCGGAACAAATCCAGCATCCATTCCACCTTTAGCATCCCATTATAATCATGACTAGAATCGGTTGCATATACATATCCGTCTTTACCATGACTCAAAGCAACCACAATACAACAACTGTACTTCTGGTGATCTTTTTGAAGAGCAAATCTCTCTAGAACCTCTTTCATTTGGACCAGAGTTAAATTTCGAGTCGTTGCATCTTCGAATATTTCAAAATTAAAACCTCTTAGCAATAGTCTCATATTATCATGATCAACATCTGAGCCTGTTCTTTTTTTCTCGTTTTTGAAATCAACATTGTTTATGATCAAGGCTAGTCCTGTTTTCTTAGTCGTATCAATTGGGTAGCTTCCCAATTCCTTGCTCGGTTTTCGCGGTTTTGGCTCTGGAATGCGAGACGGAAATCCGTCAGCAGAATCATTGATTTCCAGTCTATCGATTCGCTTCAACAGGTCATCCGATAGCCCTGTGCTTTTCAGCCCGGCACCAATCGATTGTGCTTCTTCAAAACTAGGCAGTTTATCAACTAGATATTGTGGAGCATTAGTTTCAATCAGAGCCTCGCGAAAACATTGATACGCTGAATCGCCTCTGGTTGCTAAAATACTGCAAAGTTCGGAAACCTGGTTACCTCTCGTTTGCTTACTTAAAATGAGTTCCACCAGCGCATCGGTTAACTCTCCTTTGGCAACAAGGTAATCGCAAATTTCTCGAATACTTAGTAAGTTTTTGCTAAAATCAAATCTTGCTTCGCGAAGAGCAGCACTTCGATTGCTTTCCATTTTCGACTACAAACTGAAACAAGTAGTTCATCGTCACTCAATATAAGATACGAAAAGCTACTGTTAAGAGGCAATGTCATTTGACATTCACTCTACGTCCACCAGGTTTGCCCAAGTCGCAGACTTTTATCCATGCGGGAAAGGACCAACATACGAGCTAAGCAGCTCATGACGGCGAGCGGCTGTTGTGCCCCTGCTAAAGAACTACATGCAATTATTTTGGTTTTTTTCTGGGCTGGGTAATGTTGCCTCACCCTCAAGCATTGAGCACGGATCATGGTGGGCCTCGAACATCCGACCTTTCGATTGAGAGGCGGAGACGCTACCGTTCCCCATTCACCACCGCTCCACTTTTGAATGAGAAATATAATTATTAACGGGTTCCGATACGCTGAATAATCACAAGCGCAACAGGAATAAGCAGTTAGCATGGCCGCTGTCATTTTTGCAAAAAGTTGTTAGAGAAGTTACCTTGAATCGTGCAACAACAGTAAAAGTTTTGCAAAATAAATTTAAAATGAAACAAAGATAACCGCTTACTGTACAAGTAGCACAGAATGTTCCAACCAAAGTTTTTTAGAAAACTACAAAAAAACTCGAATTAGTGTAGTTTTTTCTGCGTGATGTGATAAAAGGATCTGAAGCAAGACTATAATTTAGGCAAATTAGACAAAACATTTTGTAGACAATTTTAGAAATTTTGGTTAATTAAATGGCGCTAAAAAACTCCAAAACTAACTTTTCTTGCTTGAAACTAATTTTGCAGGGCTTAAATTAAGCATGAATCTGCTGTTGTAAGCCTACTCCCTCAATTTATTCGTTCAAAATCTTAAAAATTTTAAACCAGATTTTCTCGTTACTCAAGAAATTTTTTAAATATTGTTCGAATCAAGACTGAATTTTCGATCAAGAAGAGGAAAAAACCTTTGTACTGGGATGCCATTCAATTTTTCCGCAAAATCAGTAATCAAAATTAAACGCACGGCCGGGTCGAGTGATAAATCATAGTCAAAAATTTTCTGTGTTTGAAACTTTTGCGTTTGAGACTAAATTAGATTAAAGATAACAAAAATTGTTAATTTATTTATTATTTGCCAAGTAAATCATTGGTAATTTATTCTAAGCTAGGCTTTAGTCGCCAATTTAATCATTTAATTTACTAAGTTCATTAACAACTAGTGATGCAGTGCAGAATAGGCCGACATAATTATGGATGATGTGGCAAAAAACAAGAGTTCGATTTAAATTACTTTGAAGCTCTCAACGTGCAATTAAATCACAAGCAGGCAACTTCTGACTAATTCAATAATTTCAAGAAAAAACGATTAAAAGAAGCTCACTGAGTCAGCAGATGAAAAAATTTTGTTTCGGAAGTCAAAACAAAGAAACCCAACAATCAAAGAAAGAGAAAACCGACGACATTCATTGTCAACTAGCAATCCAGTGCAGAATTTTATGCATTTTAAATTACTATAGCAAGTCATTGAATTGTAAGCAAGGCCATCATTTAAAATCAATTTTATCGGTGAAAATGATTCTGAATCAATGCAAAAAAAAATTAGCTGAAAATTATGAAATTACATGCTATTGAAAAGAAAAGATATATCACTGAATAGCTGATTCTTGAATAGTAGAAGTAAAAAATAATTGGGTATTTTTTGTATTTAAACAAAAAATTGAATGGCTGCGAAAATTTTTATTTAGTGGTGCAAAAAAAGTAGTGCGAAGGCTTTTGAAAACAAAATTGCAAAAGAAATAAACCAATGCATTAATTGATAAATTCAATAAGAAGGAACAAGTCACTGCAAAGTTTTTGTTCAAAAAAAATGAAAAACAAATGACTGGAAAGCTTTTCAACAGTAAAATGAAATAGGAAAGAAACAATATGCTGCAGAAAGCTTCTTTTCACAATTTGACAATTTTCAGAACATTTTAATGGAGAAAAAAACACCGAACTTGCTAGAAGACACGGAACACGTTGAAATGCAAACAATGTTTTATATATTAGGCCGAGTCAACAGTACAAAGAATCATAAAGAAAACCTTATCAACAAAAACTTAATTGAAGGTTTAATTTTTTTTTTCAAAAAACGATTTTCAACAATCAAAAGGTTGAAGTTTCTTGAGAATGAAGAAATCTAAGGTAAAGAATCCAGAAAAGCATGAGTAAAAAACGTAAAAATGTTAGTTAAAATGAAAAAAAAACAAGAAAAAATTCACTGTCAAAATTTTTTCTTAAATAAAACAAAAACTACTGCAGCGCTTCAAAAAGGGAGAACAGAAAGGAACCAATCAGTGGTTCACTTTTTTCAAACTACATATATCAAAAACATCAAATCACTGCATAGCAATTTGTTGAATACAAAAAAAAAGCACCGAATCAGTGGAAGACAAAACGGAACAAATGGCTGCGAGGCTTTTAAAAAAGTTATGAAAAACAAATCAAAGCTCAGCTTCTTTCATAAAACATTAAAAAACAAACATAGTGATGCGGAAAAGTTTTAATCTGAACTTGAAATCATTAAGAAAACTTTCATTATTAAACAGAGCGAAATTGATGGAGGGCGTTTTTGATTTTTTTAAATCAGAAGCAAACCATTTGGAAGTTCTTTCGAGGATTAAAAATGATTAAAACCAACGGAGCTTGTGTCTACATATCATGAGTTTCTATATAACAAGAAATCTATAGAAAGCTATTTTGAAAACAAAAAATTAACGTGGAAATTTGGCAGCCTTTTTTTAAAAAAATCAAATAGAAATCATTAAGATTCTTTGTAGGAAAAATTTCAAAAACCGCTGCACTGTTTGTTTTAAATTTCAAAAAAAAATTATTCACAAAGAATAAGAAGTTATGCCGGAACTTAGAGACAACCTTTTTCAAAGTGATTTCGTTTTGATTAAAGAAGCTCATGGAGACAAAAACAGCATAAGTTCTTTGAAAAAACTAATAGGTTAGACTGTTGTAAAACTATTGTAAAAAGCAGAAGGCTTGAGCATGTCGAGATCGGGTAATTATGAATCATGTAAAAGTGGCGTAATAATTGGGCAAAGAAATCACTCAAATAACTATTAAAAGACTTTTTGGGGAAAAGTAGAGGTAGATAATGAATTAAAAATCGAAAACATTATATCGCACTTTTAAATCAATTTCGAAAGCTTTCAACAGAAGACAACCAATGACTTCCTGCATTCTCAAACAGACATATTTGCATTTGGAAAATCAATTATTTCAAGCCAAGATTCTTCAATCGGATTGAGCTTGACCCGAAAGCTCGCCAGTCTTAGGCACTCGTGGCCGGTTCAGAAAATTTCCTTGAACTACTTCGGGTTACTGCTATTACTAAATGTGCCATGTCTCCATAAAACCCACAGAGCAGGTTGGATGCCTAGAATTTTGTTGACTAAATAAACAAGAAATCAGTGAAGACCTTTTTTACGAAAACGAATAAAAAACTGCTAAGATTTTTTAAAACTTAACAACCGGGACAAATCCAAGCTTTCAATCAAAAAACTTTTGAAAACCAATTGATAGGGAAACGTTTTTATCTCAATCTGAAATCATTAGTAAGTTTTCCATTTGAAGAACCGAAAATAGTGGAGAAGCAAACCATCCGAAACAAAGCATTCGAAAGTTCCTTTGAGGTTTAGAAAAAGATAAATAACAAAAGGAGCTTCGTTCTGAACAAAAACATTCTATATATCAAGAAAACACATGAAAGCTATTTTGAACAAAACAAATTAATTAGGAATTTCGAATCTCTTTTTTAAACTATCAAACGGAGATCAGTAGAAAGTTCCTTTCTAAGAAAAATCTGAAAAACCGCTGCAAATTTCTTTTTTAAATTAAAGTTTCATTAAAAAAAATTAAGACAAAAATTAAAAGAAGCTCACAGAGTCAGCAGACAAAAAAAAGTTGTTTCGAAAGTCAAAACAAACAAACGAAACAATCTAAGTAAGAGAAAACTGACTACATACATTATCAACTAGCAACCCAGCGCAGAATTTTCAGCATTTTAAATTACTATAATAATTCATTAAATTATAAGCAAGACCATCATTTAAACTCAATTTTAACGGTGAAAATGAATTTAAAACAAAACTGCCTGACAATAAACAGAAGTTTTTAAAGCTCAAGGCAAAATCTTTGCAAAACTCTAGATACTGATGACAGTGTGTGAAAACAGTCAGAAGAAACTTTATAAAAAACTCATTTTTGGAGCCAGGCAGTCTTAAAAAACAAACTTAAACTAAGACGCAGACACTAGGCTTACACACAATTGAGAGCAACTTGAGATTAAAATGAGTGATTTGTTTTATTTCAGCAAAAAAAACTTCTCTCCAAACTAGAGAAAGCACTGGGCATCGTTTGTTTAGATCAAACTAACGGGTTAGAGACAATTCAGTAAAAAAGATGATTATACGAAGTGACATTCAATCAGACTTCGAAGATCGCGTTACTTCTTAAATTGTTTTATTTCATTAAAAAGATCGTAAAAGATTTTTCTATGAAATAATTGAAGCAAAACTCAAATAATCATACAAAGAGAATGCGCATTAAAAAACAGCGGATTATATGATCAATCACACCTAGATGAAAAACTAATTTGATTACTTTTTTTTTCGAAAAATATTATGTTTCTCCAAACCAAAGCAAGAACCCAGTGTGACTTTGTAAGCTATAAAAAAAGACGGATTCAACAAAACATGGTAACAATAAGAATACATGATTAACATTTTGAAAAGTTTTTGAAAAATCAAATTTATTTTTTCGAAACTGAAAAGAGTACCCGGTGTATTCTTATAAATTAAATATAATGATTTATAAATCAAACCGAGTGAACAAAAGAAAAGATTATATTGATGATGTTACCAACGCGAACGTCAGTCAAAGATAGAAATAGAAACAAAAAAAACGTGCAATGGCTGCGTTGGAAAAAAAAACAAATAGAAAAAAAAGATATTATTGCAAAAATTATATTGAAAAACAAACAAGACATCAATGCAAAAATAATAAGAAAAATCAGCTGAAAATGTATGAAACTACAAGCTATCGAAAAGAAAACACAAATTACTGAATAGCTGATTGTTGAATAGAAAATGTAAAAAATCATTGGGTATTTTTTTATTTTGAAAAACGATTGAA